TACTTCTGCAGGCAAATGGCTGTTACCAGTCTCAAAGTCACAATGCAAACCTACTGTACAAATCCAGTTCAAGCTGGAAGGGCTTTAAATATAACACACATATAAAGTGAATTTCCAAACTGTCTACTGCAATTTTGAGTGAAGAGCACAAAAAAAGTTTGCAACAGTTGGATTAAGCAGTTAGTGTGGAAAAAAAACCGTAGGCATATTGGTGCTGCTGCACAAAATTCACCCCATTTTGCTTCACTTTAGTAAAAGTTGTGGGGTAAATATATTCTGAAATTCCCACGTTGTCTACTCTGGTATATTTTCACTCTGCCAAGAGCATTTTATACACATCATTCATGCCAGTGTTCTATAGTGATGGAATCACATAGTGATTGGGAGTGAGGGTGGTTGGGAGTGTAGTTTAGTGTAGTGTGCATGAGAGAAATTCAGAATCTGAATGAAGAAATTCTAGTCATTCTAAAAGAGAGTAGGACTGAAATTCTATATTTCCCTTTCCTGGGAATAGTGCATGAAGAAAATATTCCAATTTTAATGAAGTTAAATGTCAATTTTATTTACTGTTTGATCTTTTGTGGGTTCTGCTCTTGGGGTCTGCAATTATTTGGATAACTGGAATTGTGCCAGATAGACTGGGCTCCCTGGCCGTTTCTTCATGGGACATTGTAAAAGGCTGCAAATCTTTGTATGAGTGGGCTTCATTATCGTCTCAGAGGCCAGATGTTTTCTGACATTAACAAGCAGATTGTCAACGAGAGAATGAGATCTCCAGCAGATCTAGCAGCAACCAAGATGTAGCAGGCTTATATTTGTATAAAGCTTGAGGCCCAGCGGCAGGATCACAGCAGGGCCCTAGAGTGGTGTTTTACCAATGACCGCCATTAACAGCTGGGACCCCTGTAAAATCGAACACAGCAACCTTCCTCCTAAGCTTCCAAGGTCATCCCTCAGCCTCCAACGCTCCAGGGAAGAAAACTCCAGCTGAGTTAGCCTTTCCCCATAACTCAAACACTCCAGTACTGGGAACATTTTATAAATCTTTTCTGCACCCTCTTAAGTTTAGCAACATCCTTCCAATAGAAGGGTGACCAGAATTGTAAGCAGTATTCTAATTTAATGTAAGGCCACTTAGACTTAGGCATGGTGGCTTAGTGGTTAGCGCTGCTGCCTCACAGCGCCAGGGACCCAGGTTCAATTCCAACCTTGGGCGACTGTCTGTGTGGAGTTTGCACATTCTCCCTGTGTCTGCGTGGGTTTCCTCTGGGTGCTCTGGTTTCCTCCCACAGTCCAAAGATGTTCAGACTAGGTGGACTGGTCATGCTAAATTGCCTGTAGTGTTCAGGGATATGTACATTAGGTGGGTTATATGGGATGGGTCTGGGTGGGATGCTGTGAGGGGCAGTGTGAACTTGTTGTGCTGAAGGGCCTGTTTGCACACTGTAGGGATTCTATGTTAATGTCCTGTACAGCTGCAACATGATGTTCTAACCAATGAAGGCAAGCAGCCAAATGCCTCCTTCACCACCCTGTTGACCTGTGACTTCACTTTGAAGGAACTGTGCACCTGCACTGTTAGGTCTCTTTGTTTGGCAACACTCCCCAGAGGCCTACCATTAACTGTACAAGTCCTGCCCTAGCTAGCCTTACCTAGATGCAACACCTCACATTTATCTAAATTAAACTCCGTTTACCACTCCGTCAGCCCATTGGCATCTGATCAAGGTTCCATTGTACTCTGAGATAATCTTCATGGTCTACTGCACAATTTACTTTGGTGTCACCTGCAAACGTACTAACCATACCTCCTTATTCACATCGACATCATTTATATAAATGATGAAAAGCAGGGGACCAGTACCAATCCTGTGACACACCACTGGTCACAGGCCTCTGGTATGAAAAGCAACCTTCCTCCACCACCCCGTCTCCTACCTTCAAGCCAATTTTGCAACTAATTGGCTAGCTCCTGCATGCACTACCCCACCCTGGATCCTTGTCCCTCAGAATCATATCACAGGTGATAATAATACTTATGCGAGATATTTGTTTAGGATCTCAACCATCTCCTGTAGTTCCAGACATAGATGGACTTTGTTGATCTTTAGGGGCCCCTATTCTCTCCCTCGTTAGTCTTTTGCTCTTCATATATTTATAGTTCTTTGGATTCTCCTTAACTCTATTGCCAAAGCTGTCTTATGTCCCCTTTTTGCCCTCCTGATTTCCTACTAAAGCCTACTCCTTCTGTCCTTGTACTCCTCTAGGGATTCACTTGATTGCAGCTGTCTATACCAGACATATGCCTCCTTTCTCTTAACCAGACTAGACACAGACTGAATGCTCCCTTTACAGGTTTCTACCGATTTCACAATCTATCATCAGCAAAGTGTCAACTGCCTGTCAAATCCAGTTGAGTGACAGTTCCAACTGGTTATACAGTCATTGAGTCATACAGCACAGAAGAAGACCTTCGGCCCATCAGGTCTGTGCCAAGCTATCAACACTAATCTCACTTTTCAGCACTTGGCCCATCATCTTGAATGTTATTTCAAGTATGCATCCACATACTTTATTAAGGCATGTGAGGATGTGAATACAAAATGCTTATTTTCATGAAGGATTAAACAGTTGAAGGAACTTAAATGTAGTGAGTTGGCTTTTATCAATAGAAGTGTTTTGTTTTAAAAATAATCACAGAACATCAATTTACATAAACTTGGCAAGAGTCCTCAGGTTTGCTCATGGTGGAAACTGGGCGAGTTAGCATGGAGGGAGAAAGACAAAGGGTTATGTATAGAGAAAATATGCTTGCATTAGTTGGCACTAAATTGGAATTAAGGTTTAAAAAAGGTGTGTGAGGACATAGGTTGGCATAGAGAGAATAAGAAGCCATAGAGTTTGGATACAAGGGAATTAGTTGTTATGGAGGGTGTGATGGTCTATGGGGATGTGTGGGAACATGAGGTTGCATTAGTTGGCATGGATAGGGCTTGGGGAATATGCTTTGTTCAAGGGAGTGTGAAAGTTAATAGTTAGAAAGCAGGTTTTTTTTTTGTATTATTACCTTCTCCACAAGACCCAAAGCATCAAAGCCAGTCTTTCATACACAGCCTACCTTACTACTCAGCAGCCTCTGCACTGTTTCCAGAGGCAGCGGTCCACCTTATGACTCTTCGAATGAAAATCTGAACATCTGGGCACTTTCTCCTGAGTCAGAAATTTTCTGAACTCTGTGCTCCTAACTCGGGAGCCAGGGTTCAGGCCTGTCATTCATGTGCAGTTCTACAGTAGGTTTGAAAGAATATTTGAAAACTGATCAAAGGCATCCACCTCACGTCCAGGACACTGCTTCAATACCACAAGGAATTTAGCTATCTAACACTTTTAGCAAAAATAGGGATTATTAATAGCTATTAATCCTTTACATGAAAACTTGCCATATTATTTACCCCCATATCACATCAAGCACTGTCATTCTGTTTTGTATCTGCTGACACGTTAATGAATAATGGAAATAAAACCCATCCTCCTCTTGCTTATGGCTGAACTAACTGCAGCTACTGTTTCATTTACAACAAACAAGTATAACATTTTTCTGTAACTCGGCTGCACTGGAAATGCTTTGCAGTCTTTTCCTTACCATCATATGACACCCTTGCGCTGTGACACCTTTCATTCTACCCTTTTCTTGTTCAATGACACATATCAGTATACCTCACAATAAAACCCCATTTCTTAATTAATGATTCTATCCCTCTCCCTGGCAACAGTTGGAGGTTAACCCAGTCTATTCACAAATGTGATATCATGTTTGACCCTGAAATGAGCTTTTGATCTCTTATTCTCCCACATTCTACACCTCTGCTGTCCATGTTCAATTCAGACCAAGTCCTATTAACGTATCACATCTTTGTTTGTTGACATAAATTCCTAATCAATCAACATTTTGAATTTAAGATTCTTATCTTTATTTTCCAATCCCTCTACGACCTCAACACCCCCAATCTCTCAGTAATTTCCTCCAGGCCTGCAACCTTCTGAAATAATTGTATTCCTTTAATTCTGGTTTCTTGAAAATTCCTGATTTCAGGCACATCATTGTTTCAGTTGTTCAGATCTCAATCTCTGGATTTCCCTCCTAACACTTCTCCACCCCACTTTCCTCCTTTAAAGCTTGCTTTAAAACCCACCCTTTGAGCAAGATTTTGATCATCAGACCTTCTAACTTCTTATGTGACTTCATGTCAGATTTTCTTTTATTCATGTCAGATTTTGTTTTATGATGCTGCTGTGAAGTGCCTTGAGACATTAAAAGCATTATAAAAACATCAGTTGTTGTCACTGTTATTGAGTTGCACATTCTATTTGCACATCACTCTTTATCACTCCACCAAAATATGAAAACTATTCTGACTCCATAAAACAATTGTCAAAACACATATGTTCACATAAATTTTATGTAATTATACTTTGAAGCAATAATTGGTTTGTAATGTCAGAAAGTGATAAATTAGTTGTCTTGGTTTTTAATAGACTGCCATGTGTCAAGTTCAACATAAAATACTTGAGACCAGTGTATCATTGCATTCTTGCAGAAAATGCAAAATTTGAACATTTTTATTAGAAACATTTGGGTTTAAATTCAGGTTGTTGGAAATATTATTTTATTATTTTGTTAGTTTGTGTTTGACTGCAGGGAAGTATTTTTAACTCACCAAAAGTATAAATATTTCTCTGTCTAGTAAAAGCTTGCTGCCAGGACAACTTAAACTATTACAGCTCAACTGTTGCAATAATATTTAATTTGATCAGACTATTAATGAACAATGAATAATGAACATTCTAGTGCCATTTGTGCTGGAATAAATAACTTGAAATTTGCTCTCGGCTCTTAACTCAAAGCAAATTATCCTAGAAGTATATTCAGTATTCAGGAGCATAATTGCATAAAGGTAGACTTTTTGATTTTCTTCATCTTTACTATCTTGAGTACTTACAGCTGTCCTCTTCTTCAGCAACAATTTTGATCACGTAACAGGCATAAACAAATCCAAGAAGCTAGGAAAGAAACAAAACATTCATCACTGACAACTACAACAGCTAAAACAAAATGAAAAAAAAATCATTAAGCAGTTACAAAACACAAGCACTGAACCCTCAATCGGAGGATCTAAAGTTCAAATCTTATCTCACGCAGTGATTTCATTCCCCACCTGCTAAAATAGTTTCCCTAGTTATTTAGCATATTGCCGTAACAAATGGCTTTGTTCGATTAGAATTTGGCAAAAGAATCCTTGTTTTAACAACAAGTTCAAAGGAAGTGAAAATAAGACCAGAAATGCAGATATGCAACATATACACAAGCATGTTTGCTTATGGCAATAGTAACCTCAACAGAGGCACAGGCAAACTCAGCTTCCTCCCTCAAAAGGTGCATTTTGTTTCAATAAGAGCTCACTATAGCACTACTTGAGAGAAATTATAAACTCATCATATGAGGAATCACAAATGAGAAGCTGTGCTTTGTAACTGTTCGATGCTGCGTAGTTTTCAAAAGCTGTCCTGGCTGTTGTGTTCAGAGATAGTAGGAACTGCCAATGCTGGACAATCTGAGATAACAAGGTGTAGAGCTGGATGAACACGGCAGGCCAAGCAGCATCAGAGGAGCAGGAAAGCTGACATTTCGGGTTTGGACCCTTCTTCATTTCTGAAGAAGGGTCCAGACCCGAAACATCAGCTTTCCTGCTCCTCTGATGCTGCTTGGGCCGCTGTGTTCATCCAGCTCTACCCCTTGTTATCTCAGGCTGTTGTGTTCTTGTTTTTCCACACCCTCCATTTGTTTGTTGCTGTCCCTGAATAGATCAGAAGCAAGATAATATATCCAGTGACAAGTTAATACAGTTCACCAATGGTAGATTGCAAATTGATATCTTAATATATAGAAATCAAATCTCATTTAAAGATCTTCCGTACCCAGGAGTGCCCAAAAGTATGCCACAAAACCTGGCAGTTCAGATCTTGGATTGCAGGGATTTCAGCCCTTTATACACTCATTTCAATGCATCAACTTCTCTTTCACAATGTGGATCTTAAGATTTTAAATAGACTGTTTCCTCATTGGGCGATAAATCTAAAGTGAGTACTTTGCAATCTGATTCTATCAGTCATTTAAGATATGTGCAAATAAATGGGACATTGATTTGATCTTTCTAAGCATTTCCCAAGACTCCACTATACACACCTAAGCAGCTGACTAACACTAGAAGCACAGACATCTCTGCAGTGTGTTCAACTTATTTATGTTATTTTTCATTGAAGAGAAGCCACAACAATAGACTCAGAATCGATCAAAGCATTGTAAGCATTAGCAAAAAAAAACAAAATTGAAAGTGACATTAATCATCAAAATGTTCAGACATCATTTATTAGTTTAAATGGGGTAGCACAACTAATTAGAGACAAATGAAGACAGTTGTGAGAGATGATATAGGCTCAGACGATGTAGTATCTGTTTAAGCGGAAGGAAAAACAGCAAGGGAAAGAAGACATTTGGAAGGAAACAGCAAGTGGGGAAATAAGGGCTTCTTTTTCAGGTTGGCAACCCGTGAGCAGTGGGGTTATGGAGGGATTGCCTTATGAGCAAAGGCTAAACAGGTTGGGATTCTATTAACTGCAATGTGATCTCATTGAAACACATAGAATTCTTAAGGGGTTTGACAGGGTAAATGCTGAGAGGATACCCCCTCCGACAGCAGAGTCAAGGACCAGAGAGCCTAGTCTCAGCATAAAAGGGTGCCAATTTAAGACTGAAATAAGGAGGAATTTCTTCACTGAGAGCGTTGTGCAGTGACCATAACTGTACACAATATGTATATTAATGACTGAGAAGAAGGAAGTGAACATCCTCTCGCCAAATTTGCAGATGACACTAAAATAGGTGGAAAGGCAGTTTGTGAAAGGAATATGAAACAGTTTGCAGAGACATATTGTTAGGTTAAGTAAGTAGGCAAATCAAATGTAATGCAGGAAAATGTGAAGTTGTTCATTTTGGACTGGAGAACAAAAGAACAAAATACTACTTAAATAGAGAAAAACTGTTGATAACTATAACACAAAGAGGCTTGGGGTACTTGTACATGAAACACAGAAAGCTAGCACACACAGGTGCAGCAGGTAATCAGGAAGGTTAATGGCCCTTATTTCAAGGGTGTTAGAGTATAAGGGTAGAGAAGTCTTACTGCAACTTTATAAGGCGCTGATGAGACCACATCTGGAGTACTGAGAACAGTTCAGACAACATTCACTAGGATGATCCCGATATGGAGGGATTGCCTTATGAGCAAAGGCTAAACAGGTTGGGATTCTATTAACTGCAATGTGATCTCATTGAAACTCATAGAATTCTTAAGGGGTTTGACAGGGTAAATGCTGAGAGGATACCCTCTCTGACAGCAGAGTCAAGGACCAGAGAGCCTAGTCTCAGAATAAAAGGGTGCCAATTTAAGATTGAAATAAGGAGGAATTTCTTCACTGAGAGGGTTGTGAGTCTTTGGTACTCCTTGCCACAAAAAGCTGTGGGACAAACCCCTTGTGTATGTTCAAGATGAGATAGGTAGATTCTTGATCAGTAGGTGAATCCAGGTTTATGGGGAAAATGCAGAAAAGTGGATGTGCGCAATGTCTGATCAGCCATGATCCAATTGAATGGTGGAGGAGGCTCAAGAGACTTAACCGCCTGTTCCTATTCCCAGTTCTTATGGTCTAATGAGTTTTCTCACATTAATATTTCTTCCTTTAATGCTTTTTGGAGGAATAACAGCAGAACAAATGAAGGAATTACAAACTGACCAGAATGTGCCAAATGGATTCAGTGCACCAGAATCTACAGGCAAATCTGGATGAACCTTTGTCAGAGAAACAGTGCCTCCAGAGTCTCTACTTTTGAAGGAATGCTGTGGCTGAGAAATACCATTGGCTACCAAGTACATTTTCCTTCTTAGCCTTATATTTATGGAAAATTTCCAGCTGCCATGGAGGGAAACACCAATATAAACAGATTATCTATTCATAGATGTCTAAAATAATCACTTCGTTGCTCAGTGAATCAGTTAATTGCTTTTCCCCAAAGACAACTGTCAGCAGCATGAGAAAACTTTTCTGTTTTTAGGTGGTAGGATACTCAATGACTCATAATACGAAAGAATTCTTCACTAAGGGAGAGAGTGAAGTGAAGGATTCTGAGACTAGGGTGCAGAATCTAAATAAAGGAAATTACAATGGTATTTAGACCCCAGCTATTTACTAATATATAAAATGATTTAGATGAGAGAAGTAAATGTAGTATCTCCAATTTGCAGATGTCTGAAAACTGAGTGGGAATAGTGAGATGTGAGGAGGATGCACAGATGCTTCAATGTGTTTTGGAAAAGTTGAGTGAATGTGCATGATGAAGTATAATGTGGATAAATGTGAGATTATCCATTTGGTAGCAAAAGCAGAAAGGTGGTTATTATTTGAACAGAGATAGTTAGGGAAAGGGAAGGTGCAAAGAGATATTCATGTCCTTGTATACCAGCTTCTAAAAGTAAGCAGGCACATGCAGCCAGCAATGAAGAAAGCAAATGGTCTTCAAAGCAAGATGATTTGAGTAGAGGAGCAGGGATTTCTTGCTGCAATTGTACAGGGCTTTTGTGAGGCCACACCCAATGCATTGTGCGCAGTTTAGGTCTCTTTTACTGAGGAGGGATGTTTGGCTGTGGACGGAATATAATAAAAATTTACCAAACTGATTCCTGGGATGGCAGGACTGATGTATGAAGAGAGACTAGATCAGTTAGGGCTACATTTACTGAAGTTTAGAAAAATGAGTTGCATCTCATAGAAACCTGTAAAATTCTAACAGGACTAGAAAGGGTAACTAGACGATGATGTTCCCAATGAATCCTGATAGTGAATAACGGTATCCATGGTTCATGCAGGGATGTTGTGATGAAGCCATAGGTAGATGAAGGCTTGGAGATGCAAATAGTGAGCCGTCGCTGCCAGGTAACTGTTCAGACTTTCATGCTGGTACTTGGGTTGCCCAATTTTTTGAAGCAGGAGAATTGGAAGCTACGTAGAAATGAGGTGGGCTGGGCTATTAACCAGATAGAAATGCATAGAAGTAAGGTCATCGCTCATTAGTGAGATTCTGAACTCATCATTTAAGTCTTCTGGAGGAATGTCTTTCTTGACATCAAGGTTCTGAGTTTTTCTGGCCGTATTTTCCCAACTTTCTTACCATCGTTCACTTTGCTCAATGATGCAGAAAATTCCGCCGATATATCTGACTCCTGACACAAACCTACCTCCAACCCACCTTCTTCCAGTTTTAAGGGTGTAGAACAAACAGCTAATGTTAGCCAAGGATGCATGCTGACAATTTAAATATAATATAAACAAAAACATAATGAAACTGGCAGTCTCATACTGATTCATAATTTAAATTGGACTTTGGCTAGTTGGGCACTTGAAGTATTGGGAATTTTGTCAGGTAAAAAACATAAATTTGTTTATTGATTCATGGGCTGTCAGCATCACTGCCTAAACTAGCACATATTGCCTATCTCTAAACTTTCTTGGAAAGGTAATGGTGAGTTGCCTTATAAAAACACTGCAGCCTTTTGGATTAAGGGACACCCAGAGTGCTGTGTGATGTAAGGTGTGTGATTTATACACATTAATAGAAGTTGTTTTAATGTTTGGATTCTAAACTAGTGGTGAGTGGCTTTGGGTCTATTGTGTCTGAAGGGGTTAATAATTAACTCATCAACCTTTCTGAATCCATGATTTTTAAACTAGCATGTGTCAGAGAGCAGGTGACTGGATGTCCTTCTCAAGTGATAACGTGAGTTTATTTATGTTTTGACAGTTTTACAGTCAGAGAAAGTTAGACTTTGTTATGGTTTTGTCATAACTGAACGGCTTGCTGGACTATTTTGGCAGCAACTAAGAGTCAACCACATTGCTGTTCATCTGATATCACATTTAGGCGAGACCAGGTATGGATTCAGATTTCT